CTGTATGATGGAATATAAAAACTTCTTTTGCATTTTTTTATATGCAAAGTGCTAGAAACATCAACACTGATTTCTGTTGCTGTTACCCCAGGCTCCCCTAAATTAACCTGTGACCTCCATGTGCATCCTTACAGTCGTGCCCTGTTTATTTTTATATTCGACAAGTGTTTTGTAGTATAAGATGATCCGAGGACAGGCAAGTCTTTTTGGAATGTGTCTGAAATCTTACATCATTTTTTGTAAGTGTGATTAAAAGGATTTGGCCTGTGGATCTGTGTTTCAGTTCATTATGGGTGTATTCTTTATGATATCCATGAAGGTGATACCCATTGTACTCCTCAAGCCTTGCAGATTCTTAGATGTGAAGGAAAAGGGGGTTTGATTGCAGTATGAAAGCATTTGGAGGAGAATTTTCAACACTGGAGATACTTCTGTTCAGTGACAAGAATAAAACTGAAGTACATACAAAGGGCGGGAGATGTACATCTGCATACATACGGGTCAAAACAGATTGGTTTGTGTCTGTGACAATGTCTGTCAGATGCAGAAGCAGAACTGAGGAATGTTGACATGAGTGAAGGCCATTCAACAGAAAGAAGTCTGACATTTAAGTGAATGTCACGGATGTCTTTCTGTATTTCATGATTTCACATGTGAGTTGGTTATTTCCGTTTATATTGAATGAAACTTGGTTCAGGTCTGTATTTAAACTAACCTAAACCAGAAACTGATACGTCTATGAATAATGTTTAAACAGGAAAAGAATGTCATACAGAATGACTTAAGAGTGAGTAAATTCATTTAATTTTTTTTTTTTGTACTATACCGGTTGCACTACAATATGGTCTCATTTGTGAGCATTAGTTTACACAAACTAACAGTGAGAAATACTTAAATAAATCAATCTTAGATAATGTTCATTTTAACATTTACTAGTACTTTATTGAAATCAAAATTTGTATCTTTTAATATTATTTATTGGACCTGAGCTATAATGACTTAATTGACAGTTGTATTTGTATTAAATAACATTAAAGAATATTAATAAATACTGAAACGCATGTATTTCTCATTGGTAGTGCATTAACCATAAAAAATGGACCAAGTAACGTTATCGCTATCCCTATAAAATGAAAATAAAAAGTATATGAAGTTCAAATGAAAAGTAGACAGTATGTTAATATTTTGAACTTTACTCCCATATTTTCTGACATTCATCTAATCAGTCTGGCTGAAGAGAATCCGAATGTCAGAGGGAATCATAGCTTTAATTCAGAGATGGGGATTTTACATGCATGTGTCATTGGGTGAAATGGTGATGAATAATCAGTTCGGACTACGTTGCTGCTACCTTCATGAATATTGTGTGTGATGTAAATATGTGAGATGGTTCTGGCAGCATGAGTGACAGACTTTATAAGAGGGTGCACTGCACATACCACTTGCATAATAAAATGTCCGTCAACACTTAAAGCCTTATAGTTGCCAGAAACGTACAGAGAATACAGTGTTTCTTCACCACAAAAAATTACACAATGTTCCTATGGAAAGTTTAAGGTTTTGATACTCCAGCAAGCAGTGAGGTGGTTTCATTGACGAAATTAAACACACTTACTGGTGTGGGTTTTTTTTTTTTTTTTTTTTTTTGTCTATATTTAGCAGTGATTTTCATATTGTGCTCAAAGGTTCTGTGTGAATGTGTGCTTTGGCACATTTCACATTCACTGCCATCAGAGCAGATGCCCTGGGCTCCACACAGTCACACTCTGCATGTACACACACACTACCCCAGAGTCAGAAAACTGCTATTACTTGCATAAACTTGTTAGACATACTTCATGATTGACACAACACAAAAATGTGTACAGTTTATTTCTAAGTCAAATATTTGCTTTAAAGACATTCACATTGCTGTCAGTATACGTTTATGTATTTAAGCATGTTTACCTTTATCTCTGACATCTTACCTTATCTCCAGAGGTTTTCTTCCATCCAATGACAAAATTCCTCCATTCTCAGCCAATCAAAAAATATGGTGTTGTCTCATCTGGTATTGTGTATTCTGGTATTGTTTCATAGTGCTTTGACAGAGATTTGGTTCAATGTTCATGAATTAATGTTTCTATTTATTAGGCTTTTATATCTTTAATATCCCAACCTGTATGATTATACTGTATGACCTGAGAGCAGTAGTATGAGTTAAATGTTGTTGAACTTTTTATGTGATTTTTATTTTTATTTTTGGAGCTTTAAAGACACTATTCAACATTTAATGAATTGGAAAACGAGAAACATTTACTTTCTGCCTAATCCCTCTTTTCATGATCAAGAAAATTATACAGGTTTGTAACAATGTAAATTATTGTTTTTGAGGGAACTAGGCTTTTAAGTCATGCCTCCCTGCATGGCCAGTAAAATTACTACTGCTTTTTTTTTTCTCAATTTCTTTCACATCTCTTCTCTACTCACACATTAACCTCTTCATGACCTTCTGTCATGAGACCACATGATGGCAGCGTTTCTTACAGCCATATGAAAGACATGTACAGCGCATGGGCTTTGTTTGGAATGCAACATATTGCTAACTGCATAGTGCATTGTTGACATATGCCTACTGTTTTAACATTTACATTTAATCATTTATCAGATGCTTTTATGCAAAGCGACTTTGAATTGAGAAGGACAGCAGAAGCAATCCAATATTCTATTCTATTCTATTCTCTCTCTCTCTATATATATATATATATAGAGAGAGAGAGAGAGAGAGAGAGAGAGAGAGAGAGAGAGAGAGAGAGAGCAAGAGAGAGAGGGGATAGAATAGAATAGAACAGAATAGAATAAAATAGAATAGAATAGAAAGGGTTAATATTAATGGGTCAAGTGTTGACAAAAAGATGCATTTCTATTTGTTGAAAATGGCTATGGACTCAGCAGTTCGGATTGAGTTTTGGCAGGGATATTTGCACAATAGGCCTACTTGCTATTAAGGACACTTCATGTTCTAACAATCAGAATATGAGGAATATATTGGGAATACACTAAACTTGGTTAAGATATTAAAATGACAAATTATTTGGCAAGAAATGTAAACTCAAACATATAATTAAATCTGGATTTTATTGTATTATGCAAAAAAAAAAAGAAACGCTTACAGAAAATAAAGAATACATTGACTACAGTGTATAATCAATTATCAGTTATTTTGTTGTTTATCCCTTGGTTTTGATTACAGCAGCCATTCTCCTGGGCATTGACTAACTAAACTTTGTAAATGTTTCATGCTTAACTTCCAACTTTCCAATCCTCCTTAAGTTCTTCTCAAATTTGAGCTTCATTGAAAGACCTGCATGGCTTATCACAATCCAGGTTTTCAATGGCTCTAATGTCAGAGGACTGAGGAGGCCACTTAAGACTTCAAAATGCCAAGCATGAACACTTTTATTGAGCAGTGAGCACAGCTTTGTTGCATGCGCTGTGTTTTTTGGGATCGTTTTCCTGTTTGAAATATACATATTTGATTTCAAAACAGATCCTCCACTCCACACTTGGCTACATTGTGTTCAACAGGATTCCCATGTATTGGTCAATTTTCAAAGTGCCAACAATTTTGTAATTTGGTATGTTTCATTGCATTATAACAAATGATACAATTGAACCATGGAACGCTTACATTAGTTTTACACTCCAGGCACAACTTCACATATAAACATATCCGTTATAAAGTGTCACTATACTGTATGCCGAGGCATTACAATAAAATGTGATATAGTCAAAATATGGATTATGGTGACTGTAATGTCATGATAATAAATGGAATTTCAATCACAATTTGAATATCATAAAATTATATTTTAGAGGTTGAAGAAAGTTTTGGAACTCAAGGCATTTCGACTGCACAATTGTAGAAAAAAAAAAGATCTTTGAAATGAGTGGTGGCTGTCTGATCATTTGTTCAATAACATTGAGTGACAGATTAATGGAGTGATTCGATGTGACAATGTCACCATCTTGATCCGACGTCTGAGTGTTGCCTCTACTACTCTTCTCCTGTCCCACAAGTCAGAGTGAGAGATTCATGTTAAACAGGACGCCAGGGAATTTCTGGCAGACAACACAAGATAATGTGACAAAAGAAGCACTGGAGCCCTCCGTGTCACTTCAGGCTGTTTTTGAGCACCATATGCCGAAAACCCTTCTGTTCATCAAAACCACCCAGAAACTTTTGGAAGCCTGATTTCACCCTACCCCTACCTCCCAGTCACAATATGAACAGTTTGATCATTATCTATGCCATCCTAACATCAATAATTATTTCATGCCCTGGACTCTTGCCAACCTAAGCCCTAGCATCATTTGACAAGTGAGAAAGTGAGAGAGAGAACACAAGGAACAGAGGGAGAGAGAAAGATGCCTCTGGTTTGGAGGAAACCCCATTTCCAATGTCACTGTATAAGATGTCAGCCAATGCACCTGAACCAGTCAGCCTGTCAAAGTTCCTGTCAGAGTGCCTGAATGTCAGAGAAGCAGATGGAGAGGTTACAATGGCTCGTTTAGACTTGAGACTGATGGAACACGGTTTCAGGGTAAGAACTATCAACTCAAATTCTGATTGAGGATATAGGGCTGGGCAGGTATTAGAAGTCTAAATTAAGCTGAAGAAAATCTAATGGACTGAGAGATAACAGTATGCTGTTAGGAATCATACCAAAAAAAGCAAATTACATTTTTGTTTGAAAGTTAAACCCTATCCAATGTTCCAGCGTTTGCTTTTTTTCTCTGATAGGCTAATTTAGAACAAATTATTAAATATATTAAAACAATTTATTACAAATGTCTATCATTTATAGTCTAATTTGTTTCGAAACAGACAACAAAATAATTTAATAAACAGCTTGAAGTTACAACACATTTTACGTCCAAAGGAAATCATGCATGAGAGCGGGCGCGCGCATCGTGCTTGCGCGCAAGTCAATCATCCTTCGGCTTTTGTGAACGTCAGAAATGCCTCTCGTCTGTGTGCAACCACCGGTCATGCTTCCCCTTTAGTTTTAAACGCCCTAGCATCCCTCAGACAAGGTCGTGCACTTTTGCCTTTCCCTGCGATAAACAATCGAAAAAGTGGCGTGGGTAAAACCGTGCAAGCAGTCATTGTGTCCCAGCCTCCACGAGAGAACGCAGAGGAGATGCGGACACCGCTTGACAATATCGCAGTCGTTTATTTTTTACAGCTAGTAGGATGGATGTGTACAATGTGAACGACCTGCACGTGTACAATGAAGTGAGTGACTTTAGGCGCGCGAGTAAAAATGACACTTCAAGCGCGAGAGAATATTTCGCCAGGTAAATACGGGCACGCGAAAATGAACTCAGCGGTGAGCGAGAATCGGCAGTGATTTCTTCAAAATGACTGAATTCATCCAACTGAATTTATGAACAGAACGACAGATGGCAACGGAACATTATCAACACTCACAATACGTCGTAAAATAGAGCTTGTTACCGAACAGTATGTTTAAATCGGATAATTTCAGTCACGCTCTGTCTGAGGTCTCGTGAAGGGTTCAACAGTGACAAGACAGAAGCGAAGGCGAGTTCAACAACGGAGGACTTGGGTAGCGATTCAAATACTGGGACCTTCCGTCATTTCGGCATCCTTCTCCATAAAACAATCATCACAGACTCGCAGAGCGGTAAGAATCATATTTCAGCCATATTTGAATTTTAATAAGATGTGTGTGGAGAAAAAGCACGTGCGCATGAAACTGAAGCGCGTACCACATTTTGACGAGGTAATGATGGATAACAAACAATTATATACTAGTATATAGCCTACTTCAATGAAGATAATGAAACATTTACTTAAGCGTGAAACGCAGCGCATTGATAGTGTGGTTACCACTGTAAAAAAAGATCGTAAATAATGACACTTCCACGGGTTTGGTTTAGGGTGTTTTTGCTCACAGTTTCTGTTTTTGCATTGTTTGGTCTTAAGAGAATGAAAGCTGAAATTGTGTATTTAGTTGAGATTTTAGGAAATGTTTTCTCTGGTGCCGTTGAGTAAAGTAGCCTACACGTAAATATATGGACAAGTTTCTACTTTACAGTCTTCATTTATGTAATTTATGAGGTTAAAGAAAAACTTCTTCCTTTCTCATATTCTTTCTTTCTGTTTTTTATGTGTTTAATAAACAAGCACAACAACAGCTGAATTAAAAATAAAAGAAGTTATGATTGAAAAAAGAGGAAGATACTTGTTAAAGTTACCCTCAATAAAGCAGAGATCTCCAGGAAAGTCCCTCCCTCATGTCTATGCTTTTCAGAATATAGTTTGGGAATAAAATTGTATTTATTACTATTAACAATGTCTTTTGCATCAAATGAACTCCTAATTACTGCATATTAATAGTTAGTCAGACAGTTTTTAAGTTTAGGTATTGGGCAGGATTTAGGGATGTAGATTATGGTCATGCAGAATAAGGTATTAATTCGGTTTTTAGTAGGCAACTAGAAGTGAGAATTGGACCCTAAACTAAAGTGTTATCCGTATTTTGCCATTCTTTTGCAAAGGGCATTAAATGCATCTTCTTTTCTCCCCCTTTTTTTTTTGTGACCAGCTATTTTATTCATTGTTTGTCTGCTTAACATCTTTAAGAGGACACCGACCATATTTTTCAGATAAACATTCACTGTACAATACGGCTGTTGCTCCACAGCAAGCCTTGCAGGTATTTGTCACTGCACTTATGCACCAAAACATCTGATTAAAGCAATTACCTGATATTAGAGCATGAAAAGTATTTAATTAGCAGAGGTGGGGTGGTGGTGCGTAAAGTCACAAAATACCCCTAGCATTAATTAAAAAAAAAAAATCTACTAAATTATTTTAAAACAGATATTAATAGGATTTAGTGAAATTGTTTAGTCAACTGTTAATATTCACATCAGGCAGATTGTAATGTGTCATAGACAATCCATCTAAAACTGTCGTTCATCTTAAAACCATCGAAAACACTTTTATCTGATACTGAAGTAGCCAATATAGATACTTTTTGATTTTTAATCATACATTCATTCCACTCAAAAATTGCCTAGCTACGCCTCACGCCTCTCTCTCTCTCTCTCTCTCTCTCTCTCTCTCTCTCTCTCTCTCTCTCTCTCTCTCTCTCTCTCTCTCTCTCTCTCTCTCTCTCTGTCTGTCTCTCTCTCTGCATTTCAAGTTGTTTTGTTTTTGTAGGCACCTTATATGTCTGGATTTTCATTTCAAATTACAAAGACCACTTGTATAAATAATCAGAGTCATGAGAAGCTGGACAAGTTAATGCAGTGATGGACTCTGAAAAGCTTGCATACTTTGATAATGCAGTGTTAATGGTGTCAGTGAGTTTTGAAAAATCATATCCAAAAATAATATATTTATATATTCTTATTTTTTATTTTTTTAATTGATAAAGGTCATATTAAAATAAAACTCTTTTTTACCATGTCTTAATGCTGCAGTCAGTAACCTTTTTGGGTTAAAATGATCTAAAATAAATTTGAACAAGTATAAACAGCCAGTGTTCAAAACTATCTGCTTGCCTCAACTCGATGTTTTTAATTCCAGTGGTAATGGTGGATTTCCGCGGGAAATTTGAGCATATGCATGTCTTTGTGTCATTACGTCACATCTGTACACATAAAAGAAGGAGTCTCGGCTAAGATATGTTGCATGTGAAGATGTTGGAGGTGGAGATTTATAGCCTTTTTCTCATAGCACTTGATATAATTAAACTTATCAATTGGATTGGGGACCCAGAAAGGTTCAAATGACAATCACCAGTGACAACAGATTCACCCGCTGTAAAATGCAAAAGACTTTGGACTGAGAGTTTGGAAAATGAGACTGGTTTGACGTAATATGATAAGCGATCGTTAGATTTAATCAGTGCAATTTACTGCAATGTTTTTTTTCCCATAGTTGGTCAGAAGAGCAAAAGTGGATGTTACTTGTTTAGAGGACAAAGTAGGGTGAAAACTCATGTAGGTCATATCCAAAAAGTATAATGTGATTCTGAATGCCAGTATCCACACCGGCACGGCAACTGGCAGCCGCACACTCTTCAAAACATTGGATTCATCCATGCTGTGCCATGCCGAGGTACAACTCACGTTGATAATTCCGCGAATGACTGCAATTGCAGAGATGGTGACAAAGAGGAAAAACTGCGAACTGCAGCTTTAAATTAATCTTGTATTTTTGTTGCTTTAAATACAGTATGTTTTATGTATAGATTTTACTTTCCACCTGTAACAGACCTACACTTAAATCTTTTATCTGAAAATCTTTCATAAAAACTTTAAAGGAGTAGTTCACTTTTAAAAAAAAAACTTTTGCTGATAATTTACTCACCCCCATGTCATCCAGGATGTCCATGTCTTTCTTTCTTCAGTTGAAAAGAAATTAAGGTTTTTGATGAAAACATTCCAGGATTTTCTCCATAGAATGGACTTCAATGGGAACCGATTCAAGGTCCAAACGAGAGTTTTAGTGCAGCTTCAAAGGGCTTTAAGACGATAAATAAGGGTCTTGTCTAGCGAAACGATTGGTCATTTAAAAAATAAATTAAAAAGTTTAGGTTTTATAAGCACAAATGCTTGCCTTGCTCTGTGTGATGAGCGTTCGTGACTCTCCTGTTCAAACTCGTTCATCAAAATGAACAAATCTTTTTTCGAGTCATGACTCGAAGGGTCCTAGATAAGACCCTTATTCATCGTCTGGTGTCGTTTAAAGCCTTTGAAGCTGCACTGAAACGACCTTGAACCGTTTGGTTACCAATGAAGTCCATTAAATGGAGAAAATCCTGGAATGTTTTCATCAAAAACCTTCATTTCTTTTCTACTGAAGAAAGAAAGACGTGGACATCTTGGATGACATGGGGGTGAGTAAATTATCAGCAATTTTTTTTTTTAAAGTGAACTACTCCTTTAATTGCAAGATTTAAACTAAACAAAGAGTGTTATAAACAAACAATTTTGCTCCTAATAACAAAAAAGTGCCAATACTTTAAGAAACTACTTTTTATTACATGTTAAGATTACCATTTAAAGATTGAATCTAATAAAAAATAGAATTAATAATTTGTAATACCGCGTACAGACACAATACCTTAATGGTGTCAAGACACCCGTCCCCAAGCACACACCCTTCAAATTTTACAGAATGTTATTTTCATCCCAGGAGGTCCTAGGTGTGAGACAACAGTGTTTCTATGTGACTTATTACATGCATACACACAGTAGACGTTTGGACTTGACTATAGAAAGAAAAATAGTAAAGAAAGGGATGGAAGTTGCACTTTGCCTGGGTAAAAGAGTGATGAGGAGCACATTCTGTCTGGCATGCAATTACACACACACGCATGCACACAATAGTCCAGGAGCCTGATCTGAGGAACCTGGCCTATGTATAGCTTTCTAATGTGTTGTGAACATACACACACATAAAGAGAAGAAACAGACTGCTTCGTTCCGGCTGGTCAAGGCCAGTTTTGACCACCCAGATTGAGGCGGCATCAGATATATGGGTGGCTCTGAAGCCTCTCAGAAAGTCTGTTACAAAGTCAATGTCAGTCTATCATCCATATGGAGATTAAAATGAATGGAGACTCTTCTTGTAACATTTGGTCACCACAGTCTAAGCAAAACCTGACCCATCCACACACTATAAAGAGAATCTGTAATGTATTATGTGAGTTTTTGTGTGTGCACTGTGTTTTCTACCAAAGAGTGCTGTACTTATCATCATGGTGATTCATAACGACTCCATCATTCTGTCTGATGCGCACACACACACACCATAGACGCAGCATGTTTTTATGTGTGTGTGTGTGTGTGTGTGTAGTTATAGATCCTCAGTGACATTCCCAGTGGGAAGGAGTCTCATGTGATTCTTTTCTTCCAGTCAGCTCAGTGCCGAAGTGAACCTTTGCCGTCCAAAACACACACACACACACACACACACACACACACACACGTGAGTGTGCATTCTCAGCTTCTGTGGCAGAGTGAGTAAATCTGCAGTCAGTATTAATGCTATGTGACAGCAAGGGATGACTGCAAAGACAGGACACACTGAGACAACCGAGGCCACGTAAAACACACACACACACAAACACGAGCCATCCTGATTTACAGCTTTCCCTCCTATGGCCTGCCCAATATCATCTCTTTCAAATCTTTCTCTTTCTCATACACAAGTCTCTGTGGTGACACAACCTGTTTCAAAGACAAGTATGTACTCTGTTGACCCAGCCAGGTCTGGATCCTGTCAAAAATAGATAGTTAAAGACAGAATAAGAAAAAGCATACTGAGCTAGTGTTAATTGACATTAAAAATAAATAAACAAACACTATGATGGCAATCTATTGACATTTTTGTTGACTAATAGTTGGGTGACCATATTTTGATTACCAAAAACCAGGACATTCGGCCTAGCAAACAGATACTCAAAGTTTACTCAAAGATGTTTACTCACTGATGTCCTGCGCACATTTGAATTGAAACAACCAGGACATTTTACGATTCTGATAGTGACGGTTTGAAATAATCCCAAAATGTTCCCCCAAGAAATGCACCCTTTTAGTGAGTTATTTAAACACATTCCACCAGAAGTGTTTGCAGTGCTTCTTACTGTATAGTTCCATAGTGAAT